AACCTCTTCTCTTGCCTCATGGACAACCCCCAAAAACCCACTGCCCTCACCCTTACTTTTGGGGAGCCCCAACATCGCTTCCAACCATTGTGCAGCTCTACCTAGAACCCTGCTTTGGCTCACAGGTGCCTGAAAACCCCCCAAAGGAAAAGTGCAAAAAGTGGAGAAAAAAAGCCCCCCCCCCAAAAAAAAGCCAAAAAAAATTTAAAAATTAAAAAAAAAAAAAAAAGCAAAATGTGCAAAAAAGCCACAACCGCCCCCCAAATGTGGTGGCCATGCTTACCAAGCGTCACCTCGGACTGCATGGGCATGGACAGCGCTGGGTGCTTCACCTCACAGCTGAAGAGCGCCTCATTGTCGATTTGGGGGTTCAGGGTCCAGGTGAGGGTGGCCCGCGCCTCCACCGTCCCATCGCTGACGGGCGCGTGCGTGTGGCGGAAATAGTAGATGGGCTCCGCCACGTGCACCCATCGCGGGAATTCCCGGCTCACCACTGTTTCGGGGATGGTTTCGGTGACAGGGTCCCGCTCGGCTGCCAGTCCTCGCGGAGGGTCCACAGTGGCCGTGAGTCGCCCGCCTCCTACCTCCGCTTCGGCCGCCAGCGATTTTGGCACCTTGGTGTCATCCAGGTCACGGTGAAGGAGGTTACGGGGTGCCCAGCTCCCGGCGCCGGCCGGCGGCTCCGGCAGTGGGGTGGCCTCGATGGGCTCCCCGTCCCGCTTGAAGTACACCTGTGTGGGGACAAAAGGGAGGGTGAGCTCGGTGGGGACAGCCACCACCCTGGACATCCCCAGCATCTCACCCCTTGGGGACCTTTGGATGGAGCTTCTTCCCCAGGGCTCCGCGGAAAGATGTTGCAGGGCACGATTTGGGTCACAGGCAGCTATTTGCCTTATTTTTCTCCCCAAAGCAGCACATATATATTATGTATTTTATATGTTGATATTTTTATGTTTGCTGGAGATATATATATGAAAGATAAAACCCCCCAGGGGCTCACCAGCGGCGCGGGCTTGCCACCAGAGACCACACACACCAGGGTGAAGTTCTGCGCCTGGTAGCGGCTGAAGGGCGCCGGCGTGTCGGCGGCGAGCACTGAGATGGACGTCGGAGGAGCTGCCAGGGAGCAGAGCCAGGGTGCTAGCACGGTGTCCTCGATCCTCACCCATCCCTGTCCCAATCCTTATCTCCATGCCCATCCTCATTCCCATGCCCATCACCTCCATCCTGATGTCCATCATCTCCATCCCAATCACCTCCATCCCTATCCCTGCTGCCCTCCACCCTGAGACCTTGCAGTTGTTTCCCCTCTGGTCCCACCCAGCCGGGGGCTGCACTCACCCATCACATTGAGGAATATATTCCCCGAGGCCAGGACCACTTTCTCCCGCGTGGCTCGGTCGTAAATCCCCACGTGACACTCATAGGGACCGTTGTCCGAAATGCGAACCTCGGGGAGGCTGGGGAGGAGAGATAGGGCTCACCGCTTGCTCCCTGCTCCATCCCGATCCCATTTTCCTGGGGGATGCAGCGGTCAGCATCCGGATATCAAGGCGTCGGATGGGGTTGCTTTTCACCAGCGACAGGGATCAATAAACTATTAATAACTGCAAAGGTTGCAGGAGAGAGCTGTGTAATGCGGTTTAGCAGCTGGAGTTTACGGGCACTGACAGCTCCTCAGGAGGGTAAGTAATTGCATTATTGAAAGGAGAAGTGTATGGGAGGTAAAGGCACTGGTGAGACAAAAAAACCCTCAAAGTACAGACATTAAATGCCTGTGAAATGCTGATGTTACAGGCACCGGACGTTACAGACTCCTTGGGCGAGGGAATGGCTGTAGCGAAGTGTGGTGGATAAAAAGCATAGAAAGCCCAAACTCCAAGCAAATCCAGAGTACACTTCAAGAGATATATTACCTAGTTTTTTTCATACAGACATAAAAAAAAAATCAAGAGAGGGAGAGATGTGCAAAAGGATCGGTGCTACTGGAGGTGGAAAATTTCACACCGGCTGCAAAGGAGCCACTTTGCTGACTGGCAGCATCCTGCCTCGCTGGTCGGCAGCATCATCCCTCCTTGCCAGTTGGCAGCATCCCGCCTTGCTGGGTAGCAGCACCCCACCTTGACAGCCGGGAGCACCTCACCTTGCCAGCCACCAGCATCCCGCCTCACCAGCTGCCAGCATCCCACCATGGCAATAAGGATGAGGGCAATTCTCACATGGAGCACCTGGCAAGACACCCCCAGCTTAACCCCCCCCTTACTTCTCCAGCAAAACACAGGCACACACCTCGCAGGGCTTCCCCAGCCAGGGGAAAAATCCGACACTGGTTTGCCAGATCCTTTCCAAAAGCCCCTTCCCACACCTCCTCCTCGTTGTGAGAGCCCCCCACCAGCACAAACAAGCCCCCATCGAAGAAGCAGTCACTTGGCAGCGCTTTTTAATGGCCGCAACGCTTTCAACTAAGCCTCTGCCATCTGTTCCAGCCTCTAATTACCCATGCATGGAGCGGGAAATTATCCACACCCTTCGTTAGCAACACGCAGGAGCAGTTTTGGTCCCTGCCAGGCTGGGGACCCTCTCCATTCTGGCGGCTGCCCCTCGCCACGAAGGACAAGGCCTTTGGGTTTGCATGTGGATTTGGGTGTAAAATAGTCCTAATTCAGTCGGTGTGATGTTTCTATGATAGGTAGGAACGAGAGAGAGGGGACCCCCAGCCCTGCAAACTAAAACACTGTCCATCATGTCCTTTGCGTCCTCTAAGCATGCTGGAAATAAGGCAAAAATTATACAGATATTCATAAAGCAGTGCCTTACTCGACGAGGGTGGGTTTTTAATCAGAGGAGGGGAAAAAAAGAATCCAGGGTTGGATATCTCCCGGCTTTGCTCTTCACATCTGAGCAGGCGGCGTTCAAAGCCGGTATGAAAAGAGGCAGCCCCGGCAGCCCTCTGCGCCGTGCAGATAAGAGCTGCGCCGCCCGGGATAACGCTCCGTGGGACGGCACTGACGTGACCGTGCCATTACAAAGATTAAAAAATAAAAAAAAAAAAGAAAAAGAAAAAGAAGAAAATACAGAAGGGTAAAATGAAAGGGAGAAAAGGGAGAGAAAAACTGAGTGGAAACAGCCAGGAAGCAACTGACCCATCATCAAACTCTTCCCAATATTGCTCCCTTTCCCCGGAGTCTGAAATAAGGCAGGACCACCCCCCGACCCCACCCCCCCAAAAAAAACCCCAAACATCAAGCCAACAGTGCTTTTCATACCCTCCGAAAAATATCTCCTCTCTCCCCCAGGCAAGTTGCTGTTTTCCTCTGAAAAGAGGCAACTGCGTGAAAAGACTTTTACCACGAACATCCCCAGCTCCACAGACGATTTGCCGGTGCCGTGCCGACAATTACCGATGCTTTTAAGCACTTGGTCCTAGGGCGGTGAAATTTTCTGCTTGCAAATTCTATTAGTTCTACAATATGCGGTGAAAAGGAGAAAAATGGAGGGTTTTGAGCCAAAAAAAGCAGCTGCTTTGCCTCGCCGGGACAGTGCAATGTGCCATAACCGGGTGAACATGGCATGTCCTTGTCCCTTGCTCAAGGGATGCTCATGATCTCTTGTTCCGTGCACAGGGGGATGTTTTATCCTGGTTTAATTCCCCAACTTTTCCGGTGCTCCCTGCTAAAGGAGAGCCATGGCTAAATTCAGCGCTGAGCAAAACTGCTGGGTTTATGGCAGGAAAGCAAGGTTGTTGAGTTAGGGAATGTGTAATCTCTTCGTGAAGCTGCCAAAATGTCCTCTAAACAATAATTAGTCGTGTCAGAAATTTGTACAACATCCGAGCAAGCAGCTGAGCAGAGCCTGTGCTACGTGGGGAAACAAAACTCAAGGAGTGAAGCAGTCCCTGAGCATCTCCTGAACATCTCCCTGAGCAACCTCTGATCACTGCCTGAGCATCCTCTAACCATCCCCCTGGGCATCCCCGGACCCTCCTCCGCATCCTCTGAACATCTCCTGACCTTCCTGAGCATCCTCTGAGCAACCCCGAGCATCTGCTGATCCTCCTGAGAATCCTCTGAGCATCTCCTGAACATATCCTGAGCATCTCCTGAGCATGCCCTGCACACCCTCCTGAGCAACCCCTGAGCAACCCCTGCGCATCCCAAGCAACTCCCAAGCCTCCCCTAAGCAAGCTCCACGCATCCTCCTGAGCAACTCTTGAGCATCCTCTGAGAATCTCCTGAGCAATCTCTGATCATCTCCTCTCCAGCCCTGATTTCCTGCTGCTTCTCCACTCCATATTCACACTTATTCCCCTGCAGCCACCTAACACAACTGCTCTTGCTTATAATAAGAAATAGCTCTGAGTGTAGCAGAAAAAAAACACCAAACCCCCCCCCCCCCAAAACCCCACCAAACCCCAAGAATTTAAATTTGAAAGAATTAGAAAGAATTTCAGACTTGCACACATGTTCATCTGACAGGATGCTGAGCCCTTTCCAACCCATACACGGACATTTGCAGGTGCAAAGCATCACATCACATCAAGGAAACAACTGTATTTTCCCCACTATACACAGAATTTTTATTACCCCACGCTGGGAAAAACGAGCTTTGAAATCCGATTAGCAAATTCTAATTTAAAAAGGAAACAAAGACCAAAAAAAATGTGAAAAATAAATACTTCACCCCAGCCTCTTTGCCTTGAATTAAGTCTCCTCCTGACATTTTTTTCAGGCTCCAGTTTTGTTTTTATAACACCAGCAATAAAGCAAGTGTGTAATTAGTAATAAAGCTGACACTCCTGCAAGTGATTTCACACTTGGAAGAAAAGCAAAGACAAGCTTCCACACCGCTTTTTGTTTATATATATATATATTTATTTTTTTTTTTATTCCCCTCCCAAGCCTTGTTTTCCTCTGCCCATTTTCACTGCTGGAAATCTGCACTGATGTCACCTTTTCCCTAGGGAGAAGTAGGATCATGGGGCCAGACCTCGGATATTTGGTGAGGGCACATTAAGGGACGATAATTTCTTTGCAGTTCAGTGAATCTCCACTGACAGCCAAAGAGGACCTTAAGTATCATCAGAATACCCTCAGCTGCCCCAAAATGGGAAAAAAAATTCCTAAAAATAGGCATTAAAAAGCAGTCAGCATGCCAAAGAAGACAGTATCAGGGTGACTTACCGCACAGTGGACTGGTAGACCAGATCCTCCCTCTTCCGATAATTCTCCATGTGCGAGAAATTGGTGGAGAACATGGCATCGAAGGTGAAGATCTTCTGCTTGATGGTGCCACCGTCGGTGACCTGCAGAAAAAAAATAAAATATATATGAGATCCCGTGGGCATGTTTGCAAATACACAAGCAGATTTGCACCTGTTTTTAAATTTTTAAAATAATTTTATTTTTTAGATTTTTACTTTCAATCTTTTTAATATACGTATCCTTAAAATTCTATTTGCACTATTTTAATCAAGATTTAATAAACATTATTTATTTATTTGTTTATTATGAGCCTGCTGAGATTAAAAGCAAAACCCAAGCGTTTCTGTCCAGTTATTGCGTCGCCAACTCCTATCTCCAGTGGCTCTCTGGGGTTGTAATTTTTAAGTGGAAAAAGTCTCTTTTTAGGACCGGGGAGGACTCGTTTCTTCCCAGTGCCTTCAGATTTATCTCCCTCTCTTGCAAGAAGCAAGGTTTAGTACAAAATTAAGGAGGAAAAGGCAGAGGAAAGCAATGCAGATGGGAGATGGGCATTTTGGGACTAGAACAGCTCAGATCAATCCATCAGAGAGCTAGAATAGTCTTTATAGTCTTTTTTTTTTTTTTTTAAAGGCCAGGTACGGGAGAAAGGGATTTGGGTATTTACCCCCCAAAATCAGCATCTTTCAGAAGGACACCCCACTCTTTCCATCCAGCTTTCACTCCAAATTTTCTCTTTTCCCCTTTTTTTTTTTTAATGGTAAAAAGGAATAGGGAAAAAAAATAGCCGTCACTAAAACCAACTCTTCAAATTTATTCACCAGGGCTGAGGGTTTTATTGCAAAGAAAATACACGCTGGCACGGACGCGGAATAAAGAACTGCAAGAAGAATTATCGGAGTTGTAAATCTCCGGCCTTGGGAATGAGGGGAAGTTTTCAAGGACGCGTCCGATTTTTCCTGACTTTTATTTATGCCCTGGGGTGGGTTTGGGGAGAAACCTTGGAGCTGCTCCTGGATCAAGAAGCTCTTCATATATCAGGCTTTCCCAATTATTTTGGGGATGCAGCAGAGCGGTTGCTGCAAGGAGGGATGCTCAGGGCAAGGGGACGGGGAGCGGTGGAGGTGATGCCTGTGGACCAGGAGTTTGCAGCCACAGGAGTTCCCCAGCACATCTGGACAGATGTGGGCAAAGCAGGAAAGCACCAGATTAGATCTGATGATGGAAACAGGAAAATCACAGCTCAAAGCATCCCTCACACTACCGCTAAGCCCCCAGGACCCTTCGCATCACCCTGAGGATGCGCAGCAAGGGAAGATGCCGCAGCCCAGACACATCCTCAGGGGATTACAGGCAGTTAATAGGCTCCTATGAAAAGGCACATAGAATATAGTCTCTCTCCAGGGATTAGACCTACTTTCAGCCTTTTATCTGTGCCCTGGGTTCAATTTTTTTGGAGAGGAGCTACATATAAAGTTGCTGGTAAACCCACAGGGATGCGGGAGCAGCCAAGACCAATGCTTCTTGCTGGGGAAAAAACGGATAATAATTCGGTAGCATCTGATGTTGATGACCCCAAATTATGTGCCCACACTGAGGAGCAGGAGGAAAAGGGGCACAGGGAGAGGAAAAGGCACTTTTAAGAGACTGGAGCCAAGCTCAGTCAGCCCAAGGCTGCCTACTGCATTATTTATAAACCCCAGTAAAAATCTTATTCCTGACAAAAACCCGGCGATTGCCACTGTGCAGGGAGACATTAACCTCCTGCTCCTTCCCACTGTCACAGAGGCAGCCCCCTCCTGTCTCTCCCTCCATCACTCTCACCTCGCTGGTGACCTGGCAGTTTGCTGTCCCCAAAATATGCTGGTACCATTAATATTGCTGGAGCCTCTCACCAGGATGCTCGGTGAGTTAGATAAGTATCGGGGAGTGATGGATGGAGGACCAAGGGGATGGGGGGGGAGGGATTTTGGAGGACAAAGTGGGTTGTAAAGGGACGGGAGGTCTCTGTAGCACCTTGGACATCACTGGGGCTGTGGTCCAGACTCCTCCAACCACCCGCGTCCTGGGGCTGAATTTACACCCTTTCTCCAAGCAAATGCAACCAGCCCTTGCTATGGCACGAGGGAAAACACCCTGAAGGGGCTGCAAGGGGTGACTGCAATGCTCAGCCTGTTTCAGGTGGTAGCACCCGGGTTTGCAGCATCCCCAGGCTGTGCCCAAGCCCACATTGCAGCTGTTGGGAGAAATAGATCATGCTGGAAAACCCCATTTTTAGCTTTTTTTTTCTGCGTCCCCCCCAGCTTGCTCAAGCATCTACCTTTAGCTCAGCTGGCTGAAATCCCTCCTCCCACCCTGAGCCTGCCGGAGCTCTCGGTCCTGCCTTACTCAAATGCCACCAGTGGCAAATCTGTCTTCCAAAAATAGAGAGTAGTTGACTTAGTTGCCCAAACTCAGATGGTTTGATCCCAGAATGAGCACCGCAACCCATCTCCATCCCCCAAAAGGGAGCACCCATGCTGGTATTCCCCTTTCTGACATCACTAAACCACACGCACGATCAAATCATTATTGCAAGCGCGTCACATAATTTTGAGAGGTGCAGCCCGGGCTCCCCACTGTCTCCCTAGAGCCGGAGCGATGCCCTCACCCAGTGGTAATAGAGAGCTCAATAAACTGTGCTGATGCTTCTGACCTTCTCTCCCCCCCCCCGAGCATGAGGAATTAAAAGAGTTCCCTGTACTGACATTTAAATTATCATCTCCGAGGCATGGAGACAACCCAGCCGGCGTGTAGATGAATGGCACGAGTCAGACCTCTCGCAGTTACCGGCCCAAGATCTCTCCATCAGCAGCTTTGCTCCGATTTTAGAGAATTTCTCTGCAGCTGTAAAACTTGAGATTTTTCCCTAAAGGAAAACAGGTTTATAAATCAGAGGCACAACCTGCTGTGAACTGGGTTGGCTTGAAAATTTGGAGGGAACTACAAATATCTGGGAGATGCTCTCCAGGAGTGAGAGGTAAAAAACAGCATCCAGGTGCCTCCAGCCCAGCACTTCCCGGCCATCCTCAAACCAGCATCCCCAAATTTGCCGAGGCTCTGGGCTGCTGAGGCTCTGGGCTTTCCCAGCAGCGTCATATGGTGTAGGAAGGATTTGCAAGAGCCTCAGCACGTCGGGTGCCCTTTGCTTGGATCCTCCACCCTGACTTCCCTCTCCCCTGGAGCCGAGGCTGCTACGAGCAGTGACTTTATCACTGTCACCAGCAACATTTCCCGCTCGGAGCCACTGTGGGAGCCGCCGGACGGGGCTGTAACATCTCATTTCTCCTAATGGGCAGTGGCAGAGGAAGCCTCCGCAGGGACTGTGCTTTGTCACCATCGATCAGGCGGCTTTAAGCTGCGCCGCCAACATCTGTAATGCATCAGCCCCCACTTGCTGTGGCCACAGGTTTTAAAGCCCCGCTGGACTTTGCTGGGCGCGGACCAGCCCGATGAGCCCCTCAATGGAACAAAATGCTTTGTAATCCCTGTGCACCGAACCAGGGAACTTAAAACCAAGTTGTTGCATGAAGGGTGGGGGGAACAGCTTGCAGAAGGGATGAAGGAGATCCACGGGGACAGGGTGTATGTCCCCCTGCCTGCAGAGGCCATGTTAATGGGTGCTATGGGGAGAAGCACCCGTGCATGGGTGCTACGGAGAGCAATGCCCGTGCAGAGGTGCTGCAGACAGCGACACCAGCCACGGCTGAGTTATCCTCCTTCTTGCTAATTAGACTGAGCACCAAACTAATTAATCAAGGCAGAGTGACTCCCCCCAGACCCGAGGGCTCCCCTCTATCCCCAGCTCTCTCTGCTGTACATCCCCAGGCCAAGCCCCTGGTCCCTGCCGGGCAGAGGGACTGTGAGCGTGGGAGTGCTGCTCTCCCCAGGGAATCACGCCCGGCCCTCGGCTGCCACCAAAAATCTGCAAAACACTTTTTTGCAATTACCATCATCTCATCCGAGCCCCCGGCTGTGTGTACAGGCTGGCTTCTGCCGGCTGCCTGCATCCCCCGCCACTGCCAGATGTCTGTACAGAGCCAGAACAGACTCAGAGGATTTTCCCTCCCTCTTCTGCTTCTGGTTTTTTATTATTTTTTTTTTTAGCTCTGCACTGCTGCAAAAAGTAATTTTCTCCCTCCCCAGCCCTTGCTGCGGTGTGGCAGTGACCATACTAATCAGGTCTTGAGCACGACCCCCGAGACGCCTTCGATGGGAGCCAGCGAGCAGCTTGACAGCTTCGTGTCTTCCTGGACTCATTACAAGCTCGTTTGCAAGGATGCCACCGCCCTCGTCTTCTGCAAGGGTTTTTGGGCGCTCGCCTAATGTGCAAGGGGTTCGGACCCATGTTTGCACATGTTCTTGGGCAAATCACACCTTCTGGAGATGAATTTACTGCGCAGGGGGGCGGTTGGATATTAATTAACACCTCTACAGATGGTGCGTGTTCCTGTTTATGCCGTGAAAAATCCCCTTTGCTCATCCCAGGTCTCCTCGAGTCTCCTGCATTTCGAGCGACCCAGAGCGGCAGCTCATGCCGAGGGGTTTTCAGACCTGAGAAAAATGTTGTCCCTTGTTGTCACCCCTGCTCACCATCCCTCAGCCACGGGAGCTCCTCAGCCTCCTGGGAGCTCCCAGGAGTTGCTGGAAAGGGGGCCTGGGGGTGCTGGTTTGCAGCAAAGTGCTTCAGTGGGGTTTTACCCGCCTGACCCGTGGTACGAAACTCCTTTACGCCTCACAGACTTCAGCCTCGGTGCGCACCCACTTCATGGGTTATACCCCCACCCCAATGGGTTACGCACGCACCCCACAGGTTATGCACCCACCCTGATGAATTACGCACCCACCTCATGGGTTATGCACCCACTCTGATGGGTTACACACACACCCCATGGGTTACGCACCCACCACGTTGGGTTATGCACCCACGCCATGTGTTATGCACCCACCCCGATGGGTTACGCACTCTCTTGGCAAGTTATGCATGCACACCAAGGGGTTACACATGCATCCCATACCCCGATGGGTTACGCATACACCTGGCAGGTTATGTGTGCACCCTGATGGGTTATACCCGCTCATGACAGGTTATGTGTGCACCCAGATGAGTTATACCTGGTCATGACAGGTTATGTGTGCACCCTGATGGGTTATACCTGGTCATGACAGGTTATGTGTGCACCCTGATGGGTTATACCCGCTCACGACAGGTTATGTGTGCACCCTGATGGGTTATACCCGCTCCCGACAGGTTATGTGTGCACCCTGATGCACTACGCACACACCCAATGGGTTATACATGCACCCTGACAGGTTGTGTACACACTCCATGGGTTACCCACGCTCCCAATGGGTTTTGCACCCACCCCACAGGTTATTCCCGCACCCTGATGGGTTATGCATGTTCCTGATGAGTTATGCACACACCCCAACAGGTTATGCATGCACCCCATGGGTCATGCATGCACCTAATGAGTTACACACGCACCCCATGGGTTATGCACCCACTCCACGAGTTATACACCCACCCCATGCCCTACACCAAACTGCTGCCATTGAGTTTGCTGCTGTGTTCTCCCTCTTTTGCCTTCCTCCTCTGCAACCTGACACGTATCCCTGGAGCAGTTCTGCATTCTAAAACTCAATGAGCTTGCTCTGCTCCCTGTAAAATAAACCAAGGGAAACGGGAGCCCCAGTGATTCCCCACACCACCCCACTTCACTGCTCTGGTGCCATGCACAAAGATGCTGTTAGGATGATTTAAAATTGTTATAAATACAGTTCTGCAGGCCCAGCATCATCCAAGATCATTCGTCATCTCCTGCATGGAGGAGCTGTGACTGGGGGTTTGGGCAGATGCAAAAGTCTGTGAATGAGACAAGATGGGGAGAAAAAAGGGGAAAACTCTAAAATCAGGAGGCAATTTGGGAAATCCCAAGATGCTCTATGAAAACCCAACTTTCTGAATGTGGGAAACTCCCTGGGAAAGGAGAAAAAGGGAAGGGGGAGGGGGGTAAAAAACCTGGAAGAAAGGGGATTTGTGGTGATAAAAGCTGGGTTATTTTTTCCCCTCCCACTCTCTCTGTGGTTTCTCAGACCGTAATTCACTCGGCCGCCCTGGCGCGCCATCCTCTCACCGAGGGCTCCAGCATCCTTCTGCGCAGGGGGGGATTATGCAAATCCAGCCCCAGCTTGCGAGAAAGTGGGTTAATCCAATATTACTGAGTGGAAAAGGGAAGGAAAAACCTGGTGGGATGGCAGCGTCAGCGGAAGGAGCACTGTGCAAAAAGCCTCTTCCACAAAATAAGGGGGAGACGAAGCCAACTGCAAGCTACAATTTAGGGTTCGGGACAGGTTTTGGTTTATATTTTGGTATTTCTCTGCTTGCATTCCCTACATACCTAAACACACATATTTCTAGCAAATAACAGCCAGGACTCAATGTGCATGCACAATGCTCTGGCAACTGAATATGTATCAGTCCAGAGAGCACCTTTTCCTATTTATAAACCTGCCTGGGTACAAAGAAGAACTTGAAGGCAGAGATGCTCCTTGTTCGGGGAGCAAAAGCAAGATGGTAAAACCAAGAAAAAATATCCTCTGGTGAAGGGTGGCTGCTTCATCAGATGCCACCAGCCCAATTAGCTCTTTCTTTGCCTCCTCCACAGGCAAATGTGCAAGCAAAGAGCTGAGTTATTCCCATCCTGGAAAACTTCTGAGTTTTCTCTGATCAAACCACTGTGGGGGTTTTACTTGTGTTTGGCAGCTTATCCTGAAATTCCCCAGACAAAGACAAAATCACTGTTCTGGATGGTTATTTTTGAGGCTGGATCCAGGCTCGGTGCAGATGGGAGTGATGCTGGTAGGGGGAAAAGCTACAGCCTCCAAATCCCCCCTCCTGAAATAATACCAGATGCTCTAAGTCTTGCTTTGCTCCCGAGCAGCATCGCACATCCATGAGTATTTTGGAGATAGTGATGGGAAGGGGAAAGGTTTCTGGGGGAGCCTTGAAGAGTCCAGTGTGAAGAGTCCAGCAGCTCTTCCCAAGCTCTGAACACCCTCAATTTTGCATAATTTCCCATGTAGCATGAAAACCACCCTCTTTTTTGCATCATTTCACACCCAACACTCAAATCCTCTTTGCACAGCAGTGCTGACCTGAGTCCCTGGCTCCCAAACCCCGACCGGCACCAACCCTCAGTGCAAAGCTCCCAGCATTGAACTGAGCCTGCCAACCCCAAATCCACCCAGAAAACGTAACAAAATGCCTGAAGAAAGCCTCATGGAGCCCTCAGGATGATTGCATAGCCATTTTACATCTCTTCCGCCCAGGTTTTCAAAGGCCAGCCTGCCTGCCTGCTTCACTGAATCGATATTCCCATCAGCGAGAGCGCCGTCTGCCTTTCTCTCCGCCATCCAGCCTTGACCTTCTGTTGTACAGGAGTAAAGCAGCCGGGTGGCTTCATGTCCCCGTCCCCAAGGGCAGGGAAGAGGCACTGGCGCCACTTACCCGGTACCAGACGATCTCCCGCATCTTCCCATCCGTCTTGAAGTTGCATTTCAGGGTGACAGCATCTCCCACCACCACGGGCGGCAGCGGCTCAATGCTGACCGTCAGGTAGGCTGAAAAAGTTAAAAAAACGAGAAAAAGAGATGTGAGGTGCTGAGGAAGAACGGGGCAGGGGATTAAAATACTGTTCTCAAATGGTGTTACGGTATTAAACGCTGGCTGCATCCCACATAGGGGTAATGCATGGGCAAGTCCATCAGCGTGGCACCTTGAGCCCTTGTAGTGATGAATTTTGGCTGCTCCCAGTGCACCCAAAAAGTATAAACTGGGGAAAATCCTTCCTGACCTTATTAACCAGTTTATGGCACCAAAATGCTGCTTCTCTCCCCAGCTTTGCAAAACTGCTCGTGTTTGCCCAAATAAACCCTGGGTGCTTAGGTTTTGAGGCTTGCCTTGGTCCATGCACAAAGCCCCAATCCCACTGGCCACCTTTCCTACCTGCAAACTCAAGTCCATCCCTTCTGCGAAGATATTGGCTTTGACTTTGTCTCCACCATCCTCTGCCCCACAGTGGTTCTCTCCCCACTGCAGACCAAGTTCCTCTGCCCTGTGCTTACTTTACAATCCTCTAAATTCATCTTTTCTTATGGGAATGGGTCCAACGGATTATTCAGAGGATTTGCAACACCCAACCTGTGGCTTTAGAGCCCAGCCTTGGCTGACAGCCTGCTTCTGCCCCATCTCCCCCACAGCTGGAGGCAGGATTTAAAGCAGGGGGGAAATCAGAGCATGGGCAGCTCCATCTGACCATTTTTTTCCCTGTTTCCCCTCGATTTGTTGCAAAACTATTGCAGGAGCATGGAGCAGCCAGGGTCAGGAGGGCAGGCAATTGCATTTCTATTTTATTTTCCTCTATTTCCTCCGGCTACTGGAAGATGTCAGATTGACAGCCCATCAGATACGAGCCTTTCTTTAGCATCCTTGCCCTGACAGCACCCGTTTGACCCTGCCTGCAACCAGGGCACCTCAAAACAGCCCTTAACATACTGCAAAAATCCGTTCTTTTTTAATTACCGCTTGCATCAGGTAGAAAAGCAACATAGAAAAAATCCAGAGCACCTGGAAAATGGGAATGGGTTTGGAAATGGGGCTGCAGCAACAGACTCCTTTGCAGCAGATCCCCCAAAAGAGGGGAAGGTGATTTTCTATGTCCCATTGCCAGCCGTTTGAGGCTTGCATCACTTGTAAAACAAGTTGCTGGTGTTTTTGCAATAGATCTCAGCCACGACCTGCGGGAGAGCACGCTGCACGCACACGTGCTGCTGCAATAGCAAGGCAGCGTGGCCCAGCATATTGAGCATGGGGCTCTCCAATTCAAGAAACCCTCTTTGTGCTGCTTTTTTGCAGGGGTGCAAAAGCAGGTTTGCTGCTGCAGTCAGCTGGATGCAAGAAAATTTGGGCAAAAGTGGATTTTTTGGGGCGGTGGTAAGTACTGGAGAGTGCTGTGCAGCGTTGCACAGCAGGTGCAATGGGAGGCAGCAGCACTGAGCAGGGCTGGGGGCTAAATTAAGGCTTGTTTCCAGCCTTGAAATGGTGCACAGCAAGATAGATTTTAATATTGCACCTCTGCAACCCCAGCTCGATGCCTCTCTCCTTGCTGACGGCGACCCAAATCCTCGCCAGCAGCCACACTCATTCAGGGACGGCTTCTTCCCAGCCTCTCTCCTTGCCCAGACAGGGTTTATTTTAGCACGCTAAAGCGGGGATTAATTCCTTGCGGCTGCCAACGCAGCACGCGGTCCTCTCGAATTTGGGGCTTTGCTGATATAGAGAGGCAGCGATGAGAGAGGGAGGAGGAGGAGGAGGAGGAGGAGGGATGCGAGGAAGGTCAGGTGAGGTTTTGCAGCGGGTGCCCCAATTCCCCATGCTTTGCTTTTGACATTTCCAAAAGCGAGATGAGCAACAGGCATGAAAGCAAAGGGAGGGGGATGAGCAAATGTTTTGCAGCACAGTGGCATCTGCCCAGAAGAAAATGGGGACGGATTCGTGCTGGGGATGGAGCCTTCACACATGCGGAAAAGCTCTGCCTCTTCATCAACCAGTGCTGGGAGCCTCCGGGTAAGATTACATCTCCCTCCAGCCCCCGGCACGGATCAACGGGGCGATTAAATAAAGCCGACGGCAGAACCGATGGGTGACAAAGAGAGAGTTAAGATTGCATTTTCCCTCGCGCCCATGAATTATTGAGATACAGGAGTTCCTGGCTCATAACTACAGCATCTCTGGGTGGTTTTTCACCCCTATTCCCATAACACTGTGTTTCAAACCCTGAGCTGGAGCATCCCCATCCCAGTCCAGCCAGGCGTTTTGGTGTGGTGGTGCTGAGACTAGTTCTGGGGGGATGGGGAAGGACCCCACAGAGGGCTGATGCTGGAGCCCCAGCAATGCCTGGATGGGGAGGGAAGGCAAAAACCTACTCACTCAAAGAGCAACAGCTGCTAAAATTCAAAGTAAAATCACCCCAGAAGATAGGGAAAAGAAGGAGGGAAAGAGCATGAATGAGAGGGTGAGCAGAGAGAAACAGATGCAGAGTCCCTGGAGGAGCCAGCTCCCAAAATGCTAAGGATGTGTGTAGGGGAGAGGGGAAAAAAAGGCAGGCACCAAAAAAAAAATCCAGATGGAGCCATCCAAAACCTGCTGTTTTGCTGTGTTTGACATATGACTCTCATCCATCGTCCCCCCCTTCCCTTTGCTTTACAACAGTGGAGGACAACAAAGTGTGACTAGTCCTCAAAGTCTCTGGTTTGGACATCTTTTTTTTGGATTTACTGGGGAGAAGAAACCAGTGGTGACAGGTATTGCTGAATTTTAAGGACTGTTTAAACAGGGCTGAACATCAGATCTGCACCTCCAAAGGAGGAGCCCAGCTCAACATCTCCATCATCCTCTGCATTAACAGCATCCCAAAGGCAGCTCTGAACCCCAAGGCTCCTTTCCTTCCCATTTGCTCTTTTTAAATAAGACATATTTCATAGCAAAAGCTGTGCCAGGCCACCCTCTGATTAGATTCTCACCTATGGAAATTCAGCCCTCTGATTAGATCGCATCCCTGGGGAGAAAAGAGTATTTTTGCTAGCAAGTGGTGGGAATTCTTGCAACATCCAGTTTAAGGGAAGAAAAAAAAAAAAAACCAAAGGGAGGGGGAAGGGAGAGATAAATGAAATGTCCTTTTAAATCAGGAGTGACACGTTAATAAAAGGAGCACATTGTAACATGCTCAGCGCTTTCAATTACAAAATAGCTGCGAGGGTGGAGGCAGGTTTCACCCCGGCCCTGCAAGTGGAGGACGTGGCTGGATGCTTCCACCAAGACGCTGGCAGAAAGCCCCATTTCTGCATCCCACTGAGGTTGTTCGCACACAAAAGCAGCCAGTCACCCCATGGAAATCTCTCGGGATGCAGCACGTGTGGCTGAACCCCCCCCAAATAGGCTGAGAACCCCCCGTCTTCCTGAGGAGGGGGAGGAAGAGAGCGGCTGGCTGGGTGGTTGGCAGCCACCCAAGGGCAACCCAACGCAGCACCCCTGGGTGCCCCTGAAAACCTCGGGGTGATGGAACCTTTCAGTGTGCCCCAGCAGCACAAAGCAACCCCTGCATGCCTTCCCCACATGCATGACATTTTAAAAATCTACATCTAAATTAAAGATTAATTTATTAATATTGACCATCACTACCCTTCCCTGATTTCTCACCTCCCAGCACTTCCCAGAAAGGTAACGTCAAACCTATGATGGACTTTACCCCTTCGGGACATGTCCCCGGGGTTCAGCCTGTCCCCACCCTTGCGTTTGGGGATGGGCATTTGGAGAACCTGTGGCGCTGCCAGGGATCAGAGTGGAGCGATGCCTCAGGATGGAGCCGGAGAAGAGGACACATGGGGATGAAGCTGCCCCATCTACCCCCACTGTGTCCCCCCCATCCTTCAGGTGCTGATACATCCCCCTCAGTGGAGGTGACGGGGAGAGATAATATTAACACATCATCATTTTAATCAGCCTGTGATTAGAGGGACTTATACATAATTCACACCAACACCTCCACCACCTTCCAGCATCCACTTTTCCACGCCAGGGCCAGGACGGAGTTTTGGGGTGCACATACAAGGAGTGGGGGAGGAGGGTACCACAACGCCCCTAACCAGCACAGGTCCGATTTTCATCATTTTCCATGATTTAAGGCATTTGTGGCTTGAGGTCCTTGCAAAAGAGCCAGCTGGGGTGCTAAAGGATTGAAAACAACCCCCCCCAAAAAAATAGGGAGTGATCCTGCTCGCCATTCTCAACCAGGGGAAGATAATGGCCGGCACCGTGGGAGGTGCAAGGGTTGATGGCCATGAGTGATGTCACCCACCACACGCCGGGGCTGAGGAGCATTAAGCAAACACACTTTGACTGGAAGCACTTTGCAACATCTTGTTCATTAATGATTAAATGCCAGCAGTTACTCCCATTCCCGTGAGCACAGCAAATACCTTCTCCCTTCCACCCCAGTTCTGGTGATGCCTTATTTATGGTGTTCCAGGACAATTTACAATTCTAATTTGTTTCAGCCTCCCCTTGCTGACACGGGAGGGGTCCAAGGGGCAAGAACCAGTGAAGGAGTCACATCTGTCCCAATGAAGAGTGTCCAAATTTTGCTGAATCTTGAGATTTCCCTCCTAGAAAGCTGTTGCATTGGGGTTTTTTTCTATTTTTTTTTTAATGGGGGAGTGTTTTAACACAGGTTTAACAACAGCGAGTAGAATGGGATATGACAGATGGAGCCAGCATCACTCTTCCAAAGGGGACGGTCCTTTTGCAAAGGAAAAAATGGGTTGGGGGCAGCTTGTTTGTATTTCTAAAGGCATGAACTGCTTGAGTTTTCTTTGAATTTTCAGTTTTGTCTTCAAGAAAACCGAAAGCTGAGCACCAGCAGGGCTGAGCATCCCCAAACCCACTCAAAAAATGTGCTGGCTTTGGCAATACAGGGGCTGTTCCGTGAAACAAACCTGCGAAACCCAGCATCACCTGCCGCGAGGAAGAGCCCTGCTGGCAGAGAGCAAATTGTATTAATACT